AAAAAAAAAAAAAAAAAAAAAAAAAAAAACATTTCTTCTCAGCATTAGGTTTATTTCTACTGTCTGTTCTGAGGTCCATTCTCCTAACATATATTGGTGGGGAGAGAGGTAGAGAGTGAGGATGGAGGCAAAATTTATTCTGCCTGTAACAGTCGCAGTGGGCCTCTCACAAACATAATGCTAAATTATGGGCCTCTCCATGGGCTGAACATAATATTAAGTTGTGTGATGGATTTTATCTTATACAAGCCGCTTCGGTCCATGAAATGAGATAAGATACCATTGCAGCTGGAGTTCACTGAAGGTTGAACTTAGACTGAAATTCCAAAGTTAACAAAATGATGTAAGCTGGCTACAATACTCAGTAAGTGTGTTCTGTGCCTGTGGGTTGAGATTTTTAAGGAAACTTGAGTCTGTCACTCACAGGATGTTTTGTGGGCGTTCCCAGGCCAGTTATCTCCTCTGGTTAAAGTATGAGGGCAGAGGAGCAGGTTTCCTCATAAAAAAGCTTTGATCCCCAAGTCTAGATTGCCGGTGTGCAGCAGGAGAGGGCTCAGAATGGTGGCTGAGCAGCATTCTTAGGGCACATCCCTAAAAGCTGCTTTTTTCCTTGAGGAAGGCAGAGCTTAGCTGCAGGACCTTGAATTAGGCTCAGCTCCACCTCCATTCAGGACGTGCACCTCCTGGGCAAACATCAGCTGCACTAACGAAGCTGTACCTTGGTCTGGGAGGAGGTCTTCATGAGAAAAGATACTGATGAATGTTTGTAAAGCGCACTATCAATTTACAAAGCACTCAATGGAGGGAAAGTTTCATATGATGTGTAAAATACTAATAACAACTCAATGGTTGATTTTAAAAATCTGGTGAGTAAAATAAAATCATTTTCTCAAGCATGAATCTCCAGCTGCCTATCCATGTGGAGTGTATGTATGTTTATATGTAAACAATACATAAAGATGTCTCTGATGCCCCTGTAGTGGAGGGGCAGTGCCTGGCACACAGTAGACACTCAGTATTTTTTAAACGAATGGGTAAGAATCTGAATCTTTCGATCTAATTTTGTTCCTGATTTTTAGAATTCAGAGTCTACCTATGTTACTTGTAAAAATGTTGGATATTAGGCCAGGCACGGTGGCTCAGGCCTGTAATCCAGCACTTTGGGAGGCCAAGGTGGGTGGATCACCTGAGGTCAGGAGTTCAAGACCAGCCTGACCAACATGGAGAAACCCTGTCTCTACTAAAAATACAAAAAAAAAATAGCAGGGCATGGTGACACATGCCTATAATCCCAGCTACTTAGGAGGCTGAGGCAGGAGAATCGCTTGAACCTGGGAGGTGGAGGTTGCTGTGAGCTGAGATTGCATCATTGCACTATAGCCTGGGCAACAAGAGTAAGACTTCATCTCAAAAAAAAAAAAAAAAAAGTAGGATATTTTTCCCTAAAGTACATTTTCTAGGAATTGCAGAATATAAATGAAAGACTTCTTCCCTCAGGTTTGCCTGGAAAATAGGCAGTGAGCCTTCAGCAGTAGTCAGATTGATTAATGTTGTAGCAACTGACATACAACTTCCAGTTCTAATTAACTTAATCACCCACAAACTTCCTTTTTCTCCACCTCCAAGCCATGCAATACAGGTTTGTTCTGGTAACCATTCCCAAATAGGCAAGTCTGTTTTCTTTGAAATAGACTTTATCACTTATTTTCATTTCCCACTTCCTATCCCCACACACATATATCTCAAACCAGCTTCAAATGGGCTTTCCATAGCCATCTAAAGCAAACACTGAACACCTCAGGAAACAAGCCTTCTTTTGTGGAAAACTAGGAAATATTCTATTTTTCAGCCTAATTAAATATGTGGTATTAGCCCTAAAATGAAATCAATTTTGAACTATAGTAGAATAAGAATTGACTTATTTCTACTACTTGCCTTAGGAACAATACCATACATTACAACCAGTTTTAAAGTAATCCGTTCTTCCTTCCACATTTTAACACTAACTCAGCTGATTCCATAAATCAGAAAACTGGTAACTGTTTAATATTTTTGATAAAGGAAAAAAGAAATTGAAACCCAGTAGGTTAATAACAGTTTTTTAAGTCTATCTTAAGAAAGAGAAATCAAGATTTGGTAGAAGAATGAGGCTTACCTTATGCCTAAGAATGTCCAGAAGAAATCTCCTACAGCTGAGCTTATGAAGTTGGTCGAGGAGAGTGTGAACCTCTTGAGTGGTTCTGTGGTACCTTAGAGTTAGATGAGAAAAGAGAATTTAAGTGATTATATGGCAGTCAGTCTCAGGAAAGCCAATTTGTTCAGTTCTGAAACTATATCCACTGGGTTAGACTATGCCCTGTCTTTTGAGAGGAACAAGAATAAAGTATATTTTCTCATCTTGGCATTATTTGTACTTGGTGGTTTTCCATTTCCAGATGATAGCAAGTTTTCAGAGGCTATCACAGTGTTACTTTCCTGGATTGAACGAGGGGAAGTGAATCGGCGCTCTGCAAACCAGTTCTATTCCATGGTGCAGTCAGCCAACAGCCACGTCCGCCGGCTAATGAATGAAAAAGCCACCCATGAGCAGGAGATGGAGGAAGCCAAGGAGAATTTTAAAAATGCCTTAACTGGGATTCTCACTCAATGTAAGTAAAATTTTCGGGGCCATTTCTTTTGTTGTGATTTTTGCCTTTTCTTTTTCATTAATTTTATTTTTTCATTTGGGGGTAAGTAGTTCAATAATCTCCCATTTTTACTCCATATTCAATGGCAAACTTCATAACCTATTTCATGTTCTGTGGCAACTTGGAGGAACACGGACCCTGCCCTGAGAGTTTACTTCTCAAGGTGAGCAACGTTTCTGTAGCTTTTCCTCAGAACAGCAAGCCTGGCCACCAGGGCAGGGCAGCTAGATGCATCTGTGCCTGCTGGACCTACGACAGTTCTTGTCAGAGCTGCAGGGCCACCACTCTTCACCTGCAGGCTGTCCACACAGACCCCTATGTCCTCCTAGTGCTGACAGTAGGAAACAAACTTGAACACATTTTCCTTGGGCTCTGTGTAGGAAAAGCGTGCCACCAGAAAAACTCCTCAGGATCTTTTATTTGGGTGAGCTGTGGCTGTCAAAATGGGCAACTCAAGAGTGGAGATGTTTTTGTCCTTTCTTCATTTGGAAAGCAAATTGCCTTAACTACTTAATGCCAGTGATTTTTTTTTATGTCCAGAGTCTAAATGATGAAGGGGTGTAAATGGGGCTTTCTCTTAGAACAATAGTCAGGGTAATTACCCAGGGCTCTATTCAAAAAAAGGGCGTATATATTTTTTATGGGCACTCTATCTGTGTCTGTAGTTAATGTCACAGCAGCATAATGCATCACAGCTGCCGATGTTCTCTTGCTTGGTAAAAGCCATTGAATGACACTGTAACAATGCCATGCTCCATTCTGTACCAGGTGCAGGGCCCTATGTGATAGTGACATATGGGGTGTATATATCCATTCTGAATATAACTACTATTTTCTGTGCTATCATGTGCCAAAATGCCTATCACCTCTTTCATCAGTGCAAACACAAGAAATATTGTATCTGTCAGGATGGGATGGAAGAGAGGGCAAAACCAAGATCTTAAATGTAAAAGTATCTTATATGACTTTATCAAAAGACAGGTTTTGCAGCAGCATACCATGTCATATAACAAATTCTCAAATGTAAATTTTAATAAGTGATCAAGTATGCAGTATAAGACCAATCTGTCTTATAAAGAAAAGGAATAGGAAAAATAAGACTGCTCTGTCTTTACACAGACTGATACCAGACCACCTTACCTAGATTCACCAGCCTTGAGGAGTAGTCCTTTATTTAAGAGTGTATGTCTAGAAACTCTAAGGTTATTAGGGATAGAATACAGAGAAGTAATATTAACAGCAGTTTTTAAAGGAGGGCAAAAGAGAATGGATCAGTGGATAGAAGGAAGGTAAGAGTGAACTGGTAATAGAGAAAAATGAGAGCACAGTAAAACAATTCTAATAATACAATTTCTGCAAAGTTATGGTAAGAAGTCATATGCCTGAACAGTGAAATGATTACTGTATGTTTACCTTTCACTCACTGGCATCAATTTTGAATAAGTTCTAATTCCCATGCAGTGTATAGTCCCAATGGGCACGGGAGACCCAACCGTTGGCTCTAACAAAGATAAGAGGGCAGCCATGGGCTAGAATAGGTGAGAATTTAGTTTTCTTTGGCAGTAACTATCGAAAGAGCCACCTATTAAAATGAGGCCCCTACGATGTGGCTGAAAGAACTCGACATGTCTACCTGTCATTATATAGGTGTGAGATGGCCCATATTTGAAGCAACTGAGATAGTGGACAGAAAAGTGTTGCATGTGGGATTACAAATACTTTTGGTATGAAAACCAAACTGGAAAATGATGTGGAGATTTACAGCAATAATAGGCTTCTGAATGCTGGATGTTGTGTTGAGCATCCAGCCTCAGGCAGCAGTGAAGACCCCAGCCACTTTCCCTGGAGGCTACACTTTGGATGCTTAAGCAAGGGAGTAGGCAAGCAGAACCCGTGCTCTCCCCAGGCAGGTTGGCTCACCACTCCCTGAGAGGGAGTAAATGAAGGGGTGGAGCAGGGCCAGCAAGATCCTGTCTCCTAGAAACCACAGGAGTGGAGACTGCCTCTTGGGCACCTCAACTTTGAAAGATCAAAAATGGAATCCTTGCTTTTAATCTTCAAACTTGTTCCTCTTCTGGTTTTTCCTTCCCATTCTAATAAATTCTCAAGCCAAAGTCTTGTACTTTTTATATCTGCCATCTCCCACCACTACAACCTCCATCTAGGTCATCAAGAAGTCCCATTGTTTCTTCCTTTCAGAAATATACCCCGATTCAGCCCACCCTTCTTCATTTTAACTGCCACCACCCAAGGCAGGCTGTGGTTGTCCGATGTGTCAGTTAGACATGGCATCCACATGTGAGTAACAGAAAATTCTGCCAAACAGTATCTGAAACAAGTGGAAGATTTTTCTCTTCGGACATAGTAAAATCCAGATGTGGAGGAGTTTGTTGGCACTGGTCCAGTGGTTCAAGGCTGCCAGGGCTGAGGTCTCTCTGGTGATTTGCTTTTCCTGGATAGTTGTCTATGATGGTTGCTGTTGTGCTTGCCATCACATCTTCTTTTTGCAGGCTGAAATCACGTAAGAAAAGAGGAACAAAGACATAGGAAGGAGTCGCATCATTATAGCGAGAAAGCAAAACTTTCCCCAAAATCCATCCCCAGCTGACTTCCGCATGTGTCTCATTAGGCAGAATTATGACACCTGGCCATGCCTAACTACAGAGAATGTGAGAAATACAATTTTTGACTGGGCCTACTGCTCTCCAGAGTGAAACTGGAGTTACCATAATAAGGCAGGAGTGGAGAATGGCTACTGGGAAGAATTTTGCAGTTCTTACAATACAGAGTGCCTCCCTTTCTACATCTACTCTAGTTCATTTATTTTTCACATTTCATCTGATGCAAATCAGATCATGTCTTCCCCACTTACATTCCTTGAGTAGCTCCCCCTAGCGTTTAGAGACTACTCACTGTCCCTAGCCAACAAAGCTCTCTGTGCCTACCTCTTTAGCATCAGTTATCCTCAGACTCACCATGTATCAACTCCATTGCCCACCCCCCCCCTTGAGCCCATCAAAACGACTTTCCACCATCTGGCCTTTACACATTCTATTCCCTCTGCCTGGAGTGCCCTTTCCCCTACTCTGTATGCTTGGCTTTTTCTTGTCATGTAGGTCTTGGCTGAAGGGCCACCTCTTCAGAGAGGTCTTTCTGGTCCACCCTCTTCTAGTAGATTCACTATCACTGCATCTTATTAAGGTCCTTCATAACACTTATCCAAATGTGTAGTGACTTCATGATATGTCTGCTTTTATTTATTATTGCAGGCATCACAAAGGAGGAGACGTGTCTTTTTTTAGTCATCAATATATATCAAGTCCTAGAACATAGAAATATGAGAGAAATGTTTGGTGGATGAGTGTGTGAATGAATGAGTAAACCGGAAGACAGGCAGGAGGGAACCCTGAAACAGTGAGTTCAGAAATTTCTGGTAACCTCATTGAGTAGTTTGGCATTGACGTTATCGTCATCTACAGGAAACAAGGTTTCAACTTGCATGTGTAATGAAGCAAATCAGAGAAAAAGCTCAGTAGCTAGACTTTTATTGGAAATTGCCACACTTTACCAAATTCTTGGTAGGAGGCTAGGAAATATTAGGAGAGTTGGGGTGAAAGAATCATCAAAAATTTACGTTGGAGTATCTCCAATTGTAACCATCTAGCAATCTCTGTATTTACCATCTGTCTGTTACTATTTGAGAATCCCCCTTAGCCCTGTAATTTGATTCTGAGAAGTATTTCAGCAGTTGGCAGATATCAACCGAGATTATGGAAATCCTACAGTGCTAGCCAGGGTGTACACATCCCAGCCATGGAGGCTCTGAGGGGCCTTCATTTGAGTCCTTGACAGCCAAGATCTTTCAAGATGACTTGAAGTTGGAAGTTGAGAGATACCTTAAATGTGAGCCTTGGCTAGAATTAAGCCTGTGAGGCAGAACCAGAAGATTGCATATCTCATTGAGCAGCCTCAGAACTTTCCATTCTCTTCTATGTGCTTTTACAAAAAGGGCTGCAAAGAGGAACCCAGTCTGTGAAAATATTAGCAGTAACCTCACTAACCTGGTAGGTATGTGCACATCTCCTCATCCTTTAATCTGAATACATCTCCTTTCCTGTCCGGAGTTTCCCACCCTCTAGTGGGGCTATATTTGTGTCTCAACCGCAATTCCTGCTTTCCACAGCTCTGTTCAGTGTGGTAAGCTGAGTTTGGCGTCAGGACTGTGAGGATGCTTGTAAAACAGTAACTGCCAAAGTCCACCGTGACTGACACACTTGCTGCATTTTCCAAAAGCAGAACCAGTCACACCCCATTTGTCTGCATTAATATTCCTGGCAAACACCACAGGAATCACATTTTGGCTTCTTCCCTTAGAACGAGATTAGAATTGTTAAGCACGAGTCTTCAAACAGAGTTGCACTTCCGTTTTCCTTCTCCCAGGTGGCTGGAAATTTCCTGGTTATTCCATAGCACCCCTAACTACTTCCTCCCAATAACGGATCTCCCCAGTGTCAGTGCCAAAAGATCTCCTCAGTGTCAGCGACGCTCTTGAAGGCATTCCCTAGTAGCCCATTCACTAAACAGCCAAGCATGTTGAGAAATTCTTGTGAGGTGGTTTGGAAGCAGGTATATTGGCCAACTAGCTAACTAGTGTAGCAGGCCTTGTATCCCCAACAGAGGGCTCACTCAGCAACTTCCAGGGAAGCTCAGATACATTGCAGGGTTCAAAGCATGTTAACAGCATGTGGGTCCCCTTATGGATTTTGCTGGAAATAACTAAGTGGCTGAATAGGACAAGGGAAACTTCAGGTGCCCCCCCGAGCTGGATTAGATGCCCCTATCTCCTTTCCATGCTTGTGTATTTGTTCTTGCTTTCATTTGGAAAGGATCCATAGGCTCAAATGTGTGGCCTGGATTACTCTCCAGCCGTTGAGGAGAAAGAAAGCTGAGATATCATTCCT